CGTAAGTTTACGTCTATGCCCATATAGCAGATATACATGCACAAATACATGTATCCATATATTAACAGACGTATATGAATTAATTTGTGTATGTATTTATGTATGTATATGTGTATATCTTCAAGTGATAATTACTGGGTCTTGACGATCAGTTTCCTCCTGGGAATGAAATAAGATGATATCAGATTCTTCTGGCAGTCTAAAACTCACCTTCTTCTTTCCTTTCTCATCACTTTTCCTTCTTCCTCTTTTTCTCAGCGAAGAAGAAGAAGAAGAAGAAGAAGAACAGTAACCCTGATCCTCCATTTCTTCTCCATGATCCACCTTCAACAATCTCTCCCTCGACAAGCTCCCTCTTGCAGGGCCAACATTAACGATGGAGCCATGATCACATGCATACTCACCCACAAAAGATGGGTGCACCCTGTTTGAGAAATTTGCCAGACAATGATAATAACCTCCATTGATATTATTATTATTATTATTCTTTGGGAGTACTTGAGGTGCAGGTGAAGCTTGAAGCCACTCTTCAAGAGTCCTCTCCTTGGAACCCGCCATGGCCGTCACCTTTTTTACGACCACAGCTTGGTCATCTTGTTGTTCCTTCTTTATCATCGTCATAGTCAAGCATGAAGTGGGCTTGATGGAATAATTAGTTGCAGAGCTGACATGGTTTCTATGATGATCATGATCTGATGATGACTTTTTCAGCAATCTTTGAGAACTTGATTGGCCGAAACACCAGAAACATAAAACACCCATATGGATTCTGGATACGAAATGGAATGAGTATGATTTTGTTCAATCACAAAAGTGGAATGGATATATATGGTTGTACTTATAGGTTATTGTATATAGAGGATATATACAGGATGCTTTTAGCGGGTTCTCCTAGACAAGATACATTGTCATGAATATTCTGAGGTCTATGTGCAAGCTTAGTTATTATCAGTATCCAATCTGAATCTTTGTATATTAATATATAAATACTTCATATATACATATAATATATATATATATACATACATAAGCAATTATTGGGATTTGCGCTGTAGAGAGAGAGAGAATTCATTTAGTATCATTGTTGTATTGAAATGGATCAATCAAAATAAATATATATAATTTTCATATAGAAAACCATATTATATATATATATATATATATAAACTAAAAGGCTGGACCCCGTTCAATCTTATCAATAGTATTTTACCCTTAAATAACATAAAATACCTAAAAATAAGATTATTAAATTATTCTTTTAACTCTTCTAATACCATAAAGCAGTTTTGCTTGTAATTTCAGACTGAACCTAATATTTCGAGGAAAAATATCATGTTACAAAATTCAACTTTATGGAAGAATATTAATTAGATCTCACATAAGTTATAATTTTTAAATTAATTAATTAATTAAAATTAAAATTAAAATTTTATTTTTGTAGTTAAAAATTTTAAATAAATAACTATTATATTTATTATTGAAATTATTTTTTTGTTTAAAAATTATAAAGTGT